AGCAAAGCAAGGGAATGGTTTAATAGAACTGTGAAGATTGAACCAGACTTAGGGGATGCGTGGGCATACTTTTATAAATTTGAACTACAGAACGGGAATGAGGTAAGACAGAAATTTTAACTACAGAATCGCAATGAGGTAAGACAGAAAGACATCATGTTATCTTGGAATTCCAATAGTTCATGTTAAAAACGTCTTGCCGGGAAAGTTCTATTGACATGTAATATTATCTTTATTGTAGGAACAACAGGAAGATGTGCGAAAGAAATGTATCAATGCCGAGCCGCGTCATGGTGAACTTTGGTGTTCTGTTGCAAAAGATATTGTGAATTGGCGTAAGAAAACTGAAGAGTTGCTGCCATTGGTTGCAAAAGTTGTCCCGCCTGTTGCGTAGGCCTGCAGCCCTCCCCTGTCTGTTGCGTAGACCTGCAGCCCTCCCCTGCCTGTTGCATAGACCTGCAGCCCTCCCCTGTCTGTTGCGTAGACCTGCAGCCCTCCCCTTCCTGTTGTGTAGGCCTGCAGCCCTCCCCTGTCCTGTTGTGTAGGCCTGCAGCCCTCCCCCGCCTGTTGTGTAGGCCTGCAGCCCTCCCCCGCCTGTTGTGTAGGCCTGCAGCCCTCCCCCGCCTGTTGTGTAGGCCTGCAGCCCTCCCCCGCCTGTTGTGTAGGCCTGCAGCCCTCCCCCGCCTGTTGTGTAGGCCTGCAGCCCTCCCCCGCCTGTTGTGTAGGCCTGCAGCCCTCCCCCGCCTGTTGTGTAGGCCTGCAGCCCTCTCCCGCCTGTTGTGTAGGCCTGCAGCCCTCTCCCGCCTGTTGTGTAGGCCTGCAGCCCTCTCCCGCCTGTTGTGTAGGCCTGCAGCCCTCTCCCGCCTGTTGTGTAGGCCTGCAGCCCTCTCCCGCCTGTTGTGTAGGCCTGCAGCCCTCTCCCGCCTGTTGTGTAGGGCTGCAGCCCTCTCCCCTGCCTGTTGTGTAGGCCTGCAGCCCTCTCCCGCCTGTTGTGTAGGCCTGCACCCAGCCACTGTCAGTATGTTCCGCAATTACTAGGGAACCAATTATTCATGGACACAAATAAGTGAAAATAAAACTAGAACTTAGTGACTTATTTGTAAATTTTGCGGTGTTGACTTTCGATGATTCTATTGGTTGTACTTGAACATATTTCGATAAACATAATAGATTCTTGGTAACACCACTGAGTGAATCCAAAATAGCTGACTAATGGCCATTTTGTTTTTAACAAATGCTGTCTTGAAAGCATATCGCTAACATGACTGGGAGTGATCTTGTTCAAACTTTACATATTTCATGCTAGAAATGCACTATGTATATATCATGGGCAGAATAAAGGAAAGAATCATACAAATAAACGGCTCCACTTTGTATTATGTCTCATATTAGTTAAATCAACTATAATGCTGGCAGTTAAAAAAAAATGGACAGGGATATTTTTACACTAAAAATGTATTTCACTTATCTCATTGTCTATCGAGGTTGTGTCATATCTATCACTATTTTTATCTCTTATACATTATATATACATTGTATATTAAAGATGTTATTGTTTTTCAAATTTATGTTCTTTGGTAGACTGAATTATTGAAGCTGCACATGTACCTTTAAACCCTGGTTTAATGACAGACAGATTCTTAATGAGATTCTTCATTTTAATTACGGTAGTTACCATGGAAACTATGTCTACAATAACTTATCTTTGCATTAGCTCATACACTGGTAAGTATATGATCTAGCCAAAGTATGATACATTTTATAATATGGGGGGAGGGGGTACATGAAGTGCACAGAGTGCAGAATGTATATGTATCACTCCAAACCAACTACAATATACACTTTTGGAAGGCATCAAATGAGTCCTCTCAGAAATTTTGTACAAATTTCATACTGGGAAATAGTGAACCATGTTCCTAATTTATTATGCAATACATGAAGGTGTGAGTGAGTGAGCGAGCGAGTGTTCAGCACTTGTAACCAGTGCTCTTGTTTTGCATATTGTGGAAGGTGGACATGTATTCAAGGGCTGCATAATGATCAACTCGTGGATATTAGTGAACACTTGGTAATTTTTTAGTCCCTGTTCAGACGCACAGCCATTTTGTTTTAATGAATGCAGTTCTAGTGCCATATCTCTGCCATGCTTTGACTGATTATGATCAAGATTTATATATTCATTATACATCGTGACATAGATGTATATTGGTTTGACTATCTGATTCAAAATAGCCAAATGGCAGCCATTTTTGTGCTCAAAAATCAAACATTTCTGGCATTCTAGAACTGGATCTTGGCGTTTATGGATGGATTTTGTTCAAACTTGGCACATACTTTAAAGATTATGGATTCCTGATGCACGTCATTTTATTTTTCAGATTGGATTGAAAATGGCTGACTGGCAGTCATTTTGTTTACCATAAATTCTAGAGCCATATCTCTGATATGCTTTGACTGATTATGCTAAAATTTTATATATTCGTTTTACATGATGTTATAGATATTCAAAATGGCCG